ATATATATATATATATATATATATATATATATAGGAAATAGTTACTACAAATGCAATTATTATTTAAGCTATTCATATCGGTCCTATTTGGTTTTGATTAGCAAATGAACGGTGGAAATTGTAGCTTGATATTTCAAATACCTATTATTACATGTTTACACTTTCATCAATGGCAAATTAATTTGTTACAAGTCTTGCTTTTATAATATGTTACAAACGTACGATTTAAATAACCAGTTGTTTAAATTGTATTTGACTCTTTTAAATCACATCTTTTTTAAAAAAATATATTGAAAATCTATCAGTAAAAATAATCAATAAATAACAATAATAAAAAGATAAAGTCGTCGAAGTAAAACTAATTTCAATTTATTTTTGCGATTAATATATTTTTATATTATTTATATTAATTTTATTATTATCAATTATTATTATCTATCTTGGAAGAAAATAAGAAACCTTGTGACTATTTAGGAAACTTGATAAATTTTAATTAAAAATTATTAAAAATTGTCGGGTGATAATTTATGTCTCATTTTTATTTCACTGCTTTTTTTATTTTACGAAGAAGATGCAGAAAAATACACGATCTTTTGCAAAAATACGACGATTTAGGGACTTAATCCATTGCTTTGTTAATTTAAAAACTTAATTCTTATAAACTTTTTTATACATCATTTATTTTATTGCATCGACTTGGATGCACGATTTCCCGAATAGCTTGTTACATTAGGCTACGCAAAAGGGTATTTGATTCCGGAGCGCTATTGTATTTTGCTTCAAGTCGAAGCTCTTCACGAGCGATCGAACAGGGATGAAAGAATTCGGGTGATGAATGAAAATTGTTGTCTAGAATAGAGCGAAGGGGGACCGGGCCGGGGTATATCGCACGTTTCGGGAGATTTTCTCGAGTGCGCTCGTGAGCGGAGATCCTTGTCAGCGCGTGCACAAGTGCCTCCATTTCGCCAAGTTTAAAGTTCGCCAGCTTGTCTGTATCATTTGTTGCGACGGTCCTTGGATGACGATATTTCGAATCCTGTGTGAACCTCGCTCATGTTAAGGAGACTACTACCCGAGTGCATTCGTTTACTGTCTCCTTGTAAAAATATAGCGAAGAATGCGTGCAATCGTATTTGCTGTCCTAAACGCGGCTCGTGATGATAGTCAAAGTACACGATTATCATATTAAACACGGAAATAATATACCCGCGGCATATGAATGACGTGACACACGAATATCATTCATTTTATGTTATCTTCAATGCGAAAGAATGTACAGAATAATATTATTAAAAGCATACACCAAATGACCAAAACGCTAATATTATTACGTCGCTTTGTTAAGCTTTGTTACGTCGCTTGCAATTGTCATCATAATGTTTCATGTCTTTCCGGTCTTTCAGGAAGTACGATTCGTGTACGGAGATCTGTACTTATGCACGTTCACATACATACAATAGCAGCATAATAACGTGGACGGACGATAAGCTAATAAAGCCTGAGGTCGGCGCTCGTTAACACCCCCTTTTTTTATCGCGAGAACACGCCCCGCCAAGAGCGTAATTATTATTATCATGGTGGCGAGACGATTTAATCGTGGCGTCACGCTGCAACTTGCATCGAATAATTTTACGAATACGGCTTCAACCCTCTTCCGTTTGTTCCTCTCTGTTTGTGCTCACGTTCATGGTTATTCGAAATCCAGCCACGATTCGCGCGGCGGATGGGAAAAAATTCTTTTTTCTTCCCATTCTCACGTCGAACTTAAATTAAAAATGTTGGCAGGCGCGACGTGATGCGAATGAAGAAGCGAATCCCACTGTCGAAACGTACAGAAATGCGTTATTGTGTATTATCTCGATTTTTGACAGACGTTACTGTCAATATTTATGGTGGAAAAAGGAAAGAGAGGGAAATAGAGGAAATAAAAAGTAGAGAAAGAAAGAAACGACATAATAGAAATTCATAACGTTGTCGATGTTGGGGGGCTACAAATACGACGTCGTGTACTGGAAAAAAAGCGGAGAAGCAATAAGGGTTGATTAGATGCCTGGTGGGGGGTTATAATATCTCCGTTCAATATGACATTATTAATGCATTAACAACATCGATGTAGAGGTTGAATGTAATAAAGATATTAATATGACGAGAATTTTCCGCTGGTTATAAAATATTATATTATCTTTGCTGCACGATTCTTTATTGTATTAATTAATTCTGTATTAAATACATTTTTGTTATTTTATCTATTCATCATTATTTTATATTATGCACTCTTTTGTCTATTTTTTTGCTTATTTAAATGTTAACGCTTTAGTTAAATATTGAATGTAGAGTAGAATTAAAAGGAATGAAATTTTACAGGTGTTAATTTTGACTAAAAAATTAATGCTTTTAACTTCGTGTGGATTTTAACATTTATTACAAAAACGAACAGTTGCAGAAAAAAATTTTTAAATTAATTGAATTTTTGAATAAGAACAGAATAAATTTTTATCAGTTAACGAAGTTATTTACTCCTGCGAAATTAGTATTCTTCTTTTTAATTTTAATAATTAAAATATCAAACTTATTTAATTCCAAATTCTGCACTGATATCTATATCTTATCAATCTTTAGACGACAATTGTTATTAGTATTGCGCAACTGGTGCGCGAAATTGTCTCTTTTCGCAAAATCGAAATTCTTCAGACGCCTGTTACAACATGAAAAACATTCGTCGTCGTGAAAGCTCACGTAATCACGTTTTAGCCATTGAGGATAATTGCTCGGAGCTCTCTAAGCAGATCTAATAAGAAATTCTTATTAACGCGCCAACTTTGTGTAGCTAATTAAAAATTAAATTTGTTAAAATTTTCTCAAGCCAGCCGAAGTTTTCGTAGGCAGTTGTGTACTGAAGTGAAAATGAAAATTCTTTAATTTTCTCAGTCAAAACCTTAACATTGTAAATATTTTGCGGAACGAAACGATTTTATGATAACTTTAATCGTAAAAACAAAGGAAATAAAAATATATTTAGTGTTATAGAACATAATTTTTAAGAGAATTATTCATTCGATTATTTTCATCATATAACGATTTTCGTCCATTTATAGCATAATCCAATTTAGAGACAAGTATGACGTCAAAAATACGTTTTAATGATATACGAAGGTGACACCTTAAAAGGCTCCCCTAAAAAAATTTGGTTTTACGTTTGACACAGATGTTCAATGAATAGCAGATGTCTTCTATTAAAGATGGCATTCGGTGATAAAATTTACGAGGCTGAAGATCGAGTGGGTGAAACGAGCAGCTCTCGATTGATACCATCGGTTCGGGGGGGTAGGAGGGAGAGGGAATAAGAAAACGACGTGTAATCTTGAATCAAAATTCACGGAAAATCAGTATCGGGCTACTGTCGCGCAAAAGTGCGATTCGATTGCAACGGCTCGAATATCGATCAATTAAACGTCTTTTTGACGAGCGATAATCTGGATTTGGATCTCCGAATGTTCTGAAAATGATCGATCTCAAGATGAGCGACTTGGAATGCCTCATTGTGATGATCGGATGGTTCGTGATAACATTTTGATCGAATCCTCTGACGAATCGTTATTCCACTGGCGTTCCAGATTGCTCGTAAACATGCGTGATCTCTTTTAAAGAGTATTTCTAATCAATGAATGGAATATTTTTTTATATTTGCAATTAATATTTGACAAATGTTAATAACAATGCTAACAGATGTTGTAAAAAGAATGCTATATGTAATTTCTGTTAGTATTTTGTAAGCTCTCAATTTGGCGCGACACTTCTCAACGAGCCACTCGTTTTCGAGTCACGTGCTCTCTTTCTCTAGATAATTCTGTGGTCGAAACTTCCAAGGGATATGGGGAGCAAATATTACCAGAAATGTGACCGTCGTAACGTGTAAGTCTCTCTCACCACAATCACCTGAGATAAAATCAAACAAGATGATGGTTTTTCTTATTGTTATTGTGCGTATTGTTGCGCGTTATCAAGTATGCAT